TTTAATTGAGGTCTGGAGCTGGCATGTCAGTAACTGCTAGTAGTCCTTTGTTAATTTATGTTATCAGTGTCATTTTGCTTAGTTTCTTCTGTTACCTATTCTAATATCGGACTCGGACTTCTTTTAAACTGAGTTTTACTGTGCGTATTGCTATGTGTTTGTTTATTCTACATTGGCTATAGGTATAGAGATGGTTTAGATCTCACAACACATGTTTAACCCCGTCGCATTTTGCGCCTGTCCCAAGTCAGGAACTTCTGGCCTTTGTTTGTCTTGTATGTTTTTTTTAAATTTTGGTTCATCTATATGTTTCGGGGTTTAGTGTGACGTCCATTTTTTCTGAACTAGTACACATTTTTATTTAGGGGCCAGGTGAAGCCTGCCTCCTGGTGCGGGATTTTCTCGATGTGTTGAAGACCCATTGGTGACCTTGGCTTGTTTTAATATAAATCGATACAAAGGAATTATATGCGATTGTCATACAAGTGAGATGTTTGGCTAGCTATAAAACCAGGTTTAATCCACCATTGTAAATGTTTGTACCAAGTTAGAAATATGACAGTTGTTTTCCGTTCGTTTGATGTGTTTGAGCTTTTAATTTTGCCATTTGATGAAGGACATTCCGTTTTGAATTTTCCTTGGAGTTCGGTATTTTTGTTATTTACTTTTTCATTCAGTTCAACTCGCGTCGAACGATAGAAAAAATAAAGAATTCGGTAGATAGCATATCAAAAACATTCGTATTTCACATAGTACAGTTAGTCAAGCTTCTGACGAGAATTGTTTGGTAGTTTATCTCTTATTTGCATGTTATGGAAGGAGAAAACCGAACACTGCCATCACTTAAAAGGTACGATATATAGGACCAACTTTTTATCATAGGCGACCTAAATTGTATTTAAACATGTGTTTGTTGTAAATTCATTCATCGCACACGTAGCCACGTACATTACTTTTAGAATGGTTAATGGTTTTTACTTATGAAGGATGAGTTACGTACCACTACTACTGAGTTATCTCTCCCTCCCTATGCCAACTTTTTTTTCGAACTCAAATGTTCGAACATAATGATTTGCAGATCGAAACCAAAATTACAATTCTTTGTTTGACCGGATTAAGCGGATTTGAAGTTTTTATTTGAAATGTGTTTTACTATTCAAACAGAACCAGAGTTAAACAATGCTTTGTATAGGACTTCATCTGCAAATTTATAGTCCTTTTTACAAGTTTGGGGTTGAAAATAATTGATACAAAAGAAGAATTGAATATAGACTGAGGATAGTTGTCAAATACATGACGTATGTTCGAATGGCTGTTGCCCAGGTGAACTATCAATGTGATTTTTTGTAATATGTAAACAAATCAGGCTAAATGGCTCTTATTCAAATATGAAGATATTTCCATATCGATTTGAGAATAAACGTGCTATGATTTTTCGTTCATTTATTTGTACAAATCTCAATTTTGATGAATAAATTTTCTGTGAATTTATAGATTCTCTACACATTGATTTGTCATTAGTAATAACAAATTGCGTTAATAAATGTATAATATGCAGATTGAAAAAAAGAAGTAAATATGAATCAGATAATTATAAGACATTGAAAGGCACAACTAGTTCCAACCTGGTTATTGTTGGGATACGTGTTGCCGACACTTTTAATTTTCTGTGAATTGTTTATTGGACGGTTGTTTATATTTTTGTATTTTTTCTTTGACCATCGCGTTGTCGGTCTTTTTGACGTACGTTTTGTTGTCCTCTTTTTCTCTCTCTCGTAAAAGCGACAGAATGGGATGAGTGATGACCATCAAAATCCGGTTATTTTAACCTCTTATGACTAAATGTTGTTGAAAAATCATTAAAATACAAGTTGGTCGAAACATAAGGGGGATATACATTTTAAAAGTATCAGTTGCAAACACAAGTTCACTTTATAAGTGTTGTGCGTCAGACGCGCTTTTTGGATTTGCCTTCATCCGGAAAGCTCACACCCAAAATTTTGAAAGCCAAGAATGTATATATTTTCGTCGTTAGCTTTGAAATTAACTACAAACCGCGGGTACCGGGTTCAGTCTTCAAAATCTAGAATCCGAGTTCTAAATTTTCTTCAAAACAGTTGGCTCCAACAGTTAAATGTTGTGGCACAATAAATCCACAGAAATCAAGAATCTGCCCATGAGGCTGAAGGTTTCAGAATTGAATTTATATTGTAAAATTGTCAAAATGATCAAATAAAGAGTAACAGTTGTTTTATTCCTTACACCGATCATACGACAACGTCATATAATATTCATGAGATTTGATAGATAAATGATTTTGGGGAAAATTAACAATTTGTAAAATTTTTAAGGCAAATAATAGAAACCAACTTCTTATTAGGGGTTCCGGACTAGCTACATTCAAAAAGTTGAAAGAATGGCAAACGTAGATACACATACTTTGTTATAGGGAGGGATAGATCATACTTTGTAAAAGAAAAACTATGATTCAAACAATAATATCTCTGAAACTGACATTATCAAGATGCTTGATTTCTCGATTGACAACATATTTGTTACGTTTGGAAGATGTGTTTTTTTTTAACAAACAATCGGAATTACCATTGGAACCAACTGTGCTCCTCTTCTTGCCGATTTGTTCCCTAGCCATACTTCATACAAAAAGCTTCTTAGGAGGAATGAAAAGAAGCTAGCATTGTCCTTTAACTTCACGTTCCGCTATATAGATGATGTCCTCTTACTAAATATTTCACAGTCTTGTGATTATCTTGAACGCATCTATCACAGAGAACATGCAATCAAAGATACAACAGATACAGTTAAGTCTACCTCATATTTCTTGACTTTCATCTAGAAATTGACAATGGGTGTCGTTTGAGAACAAAACTTTACGACACAAGATATGATTTCAGCTTCCCAATTTTGAACTTTCCATTTCTATTTAGCAACATTCCAGTATTGCTTACATACGGAGTATATATCTTCCAGTTGATACAATATTTCAGAACTTGCATTTCCCATCATGATTTCCTTGATAGAGGGTTGCTAGTTATAAGGAAACTATTAAACCAAGGTTTCTAAAAGGTGAAGTTGAAGTCATCCCTTCAAAAATTTATGGATGCCATTACGAGTTGGTTGACCATTATGAAATATCTGTTGTTTCTCAGATGATGACGGCCATGTTACGATTTGTCGGAATAACAATCCCGTCCTCTTTTTCTCTGATGTGACATCACCGAATTTGTACTTACATGAGTAACATGACGGGTGCCACATGTGGATCAGGATCTGGTCACACTTCCGGAGCAGTTGAGATAACACCCGGTTTTTGGTGGGGTTCGTTTTGCTCAGTGTTGTGTTTTGTAGACTTTTGTATGTCTTTATGTCGTATTCGTGTTTTGCCTTGGCATTATCGGTTTGTGTTAGTAGCATGGGAGTGTAAACGAAAAATGATAGAATTTTTTCATACTTCGCAAATTGTGTTAAAAAATATAAAACAAAAAATTTGCCGAGCTTGTTTTAAAGCTACAAGCTGTGAAGAAAAGTTATACATTTTGTATGGACCATACAGGGAAAAGGCATCATTATGTGAATAGAAGGTTAACTAGATGATAGAATTTAGAAATAAAATATGAAAAGCTAGTTCTTATTAAATGCTTTCAGAATATCACAAGAAAAATGTGGACACCGTACGTTTTTTCCTGGTATTACATAAAGTAGAAAAAATATATTATAAATTATACAATGAACAACTTAGACAGTTTTAAGCCAAAGATTGGGATTCCCAAATGTACATCTACACCATTCACGAAAGAGGAGATTATAGAATTATTTCTTACCACCATTCCATCTACAGTAAAAGATGGCTTTCAGAAATCTTGTTATGAGGTATATCCAACCAGCGGTATCAATCAGATGTGATCGACAACAAATATCTTGATTTGGTAGATTGATATTTCAGCATTCCAATGGGTACTTATTGTGTACCACTACTGACCGATATGTTTTTGTTGTCATGTGAAGCAGAATTGACACAGAACCTTCTCAAAGACAAAAAGAAAAAGCACCTTGTAAAATACTGAAATTTCACTTTCAAATAAATTGATGATGCTCTGTGATAAATAACCCACATGTCAATGAGTGCTTACATCTCATATATCATAGTGAAATTGATATTAAGGATACTTCCGAAAATAGAAGGTCTGCTTCATATCTTTTGTCCTCGATATTGACACAGACTACAAACTAGAATCTATGAAAAACTTGATGATTTCATCTTTCCAATTGTCAACTTCCCATTTCTCAGCAGTAACATACCCGCTGCTCCATCGTATGGCGCTTACATATCTCAGTTAATACGTTTCCCTGTCGACGCACTCGACATTGCTCCTTTTGGAGTTCATGTGATTCACTCAGTTTTTGTTTATTACCTTGAATTGTGTCTTTCTTATTGATTTACGAGATTTGAACATCGGTAAACTAATGTCGCTTTAATTTACCTCCCGTAAAAACACACGGTCAAAAACATTAAAATAAAGCAAAATATTCTACATTTGTTGAAATGTTATTAATTAGATATAATCAAATAAATTTATTCATTTGAATGAAAATTCTTAATAGTAAATTGAATTCCTGCATCGGCTGACTTGATTGAACATCTAGACCTATTGTGTTCTGCTATTTTACAATCCAAGATGGTGAAAGACTTTCTTACCACCTTGAACATTCAAAAAAAGGTTGAAGTTGATTAACGGGAAAGAAGAGTATGATAATAAGTTATGATTTCGATTTCAGTGTGCTAAGCACTAGTCGAGACCATAAATTTGAAAAATGAAACAAATATTTTATAGCATCAATGCCAAATAGGACCTGAATAAAACAACCAAAACATTCTGTTAAGTGATTTATCCTAAAAGAGTAGCAAATCTTGGTTTTATCACATTCACATTACAAACAGAAGAATGAGTTGTTTTACATGTATTAAAACACTTGCTGCTAGGCGGATGCGGCACTTGGGAATTGTCATTAAGATTAAAACGCAGACATTCGGGATTATGCAATAAATTTCCACTGCGAGTTTCTTTTATCATTACCTTTGAGTGACATTACCTTAAAATGAAGTATTTTTGTATTCTGCTTCACGGATAAGGGCTCCCGATTCAATACAACAAGACGTCCCTTATATATGAATAAAGATATCCAGATCATCAATTTATTTCACATATATATGGCTTTGTTTGCAAACAATACTCGTCAACTAATGCCCCCTTAGTGACTCTTAAAGCAGCACAATCAGCTTCTGAGCCATGATATTGAACGTCAATATTATTTGGTTGATTAGTCTTAAAAGTCATAAAATCTGAAGAATTTAGAGAAATCCACTTCCAGTTACCTTCTTCAGAAATGTCTGAAGCGCCAACATAGTAAGCACCATCAAGTTGTGGAAGATGGTCTGAAAATAATAATCGCTAGATAAAATCTTGCAACGCAGTCATAAAAAAACTTAATTGTTTTTTATCACAACTCTGAAAATTGCATGGACATTATCTAGCTACATATAAATTTTGATACTGGCATTGAAGTATAATAAATTAATTCCTTGCATTTATTGTCTATTTCCTGCTAAATGATAATCGTATTGTAATGTGATCCTCTCCTACATGTACTTGTAAAATAAAAATTTGTCTCTGATGGATAGTTGTCTTATGACATTCATACAATATTGATTTTGATTAATCTTATTTTCTTATTGACGTGTTTGTTTTTGTGTATTATTGACGTGTTTGTTTTTGTGTTTTATTGAAATGTTTGTTTTTGTGTATTATTGACGTATACCACACGCCTCTTTTTATACGTATACATTTATATTGAATTTGTACGAATAATAAGTTTTGCATAAACTGGCAATAGTTTATAAAGATCGGATATCTATAATGTTTCAAAAATTTGTACTCCACTGATCATCTAGTTAAAGAGTATCACTGTCAAACTGCCAACAACATTGTTAAGGAAACAGGAAAAATTACGTAAATTAAAAGGACTTAAAGGACCAGTGCCAAATGGAAACTAGATATCATTGAGATGGGAGCCATCTCTGTGGGCCCCGCTGTGAATAATGTGTGGTAAAAAATTTGTATCTTTATCATTGGACATGGGGTTGTCAACTGAAACCGCAGTTTATGACCTTGACCTTTGACCTAGGAAGTTGTACATAAATTAGGACACACCCTCTGCTTTTGGTTTATATACATGTCAAGTATAAACATTTAAATCATAACGGTTCTCAAGATATAGAGCGGACACGATCTTTAACATAGGACATGGGGTTGTCAACTAAAACCAAAGTTTTTGACCTTGACCTTTGACCTAGGAAGTTGTACATACATTATGACACACCCTCTGGTGTTGGTTTATATATATGTCAAGTATAAACTTTGAAATCATAACGGTTCTCAAAATATAGAGCGGATACAATCTTTACCATAGCACATGGGGTTGTCAACTAAAACCAGTTTTTGACCTTGACCTTTGACCTAGGAAGTTGTACATACATTATGACACACCCTCTGGTGTTGGTTAATATACATGTCAAGTATGAAATCATAACGGTTCTCTAGATATAGAGCGGACACAATTTGTTAAGGACGGACGGACGGACGGACAGACGGACGGACAGACGGACAGACGGAAGGACGGACAGACTGATCACTATAGGGCGTCCGCCGTTCGGCGGGCCCTAATTACCCCCGGCCTTGCTTACCATACAGAGCAATGGTTCGATCAACATACTCTAAAAAGTTGATTTTCTCTAGGCAGATATCACAGAAGATCCGTCGCAATTCAATCATATTTGTTATCGCACTTCAGGAAATATGTTTCGTTATTCGAAACAACTTGATCGTTACTCAACAAACTTCACAAATGTTTATGATTGTCGTAGATATAAAACGTTAGAGTAAATCGCTCAAAATTATAAGATCATACTTTCGTATATATGTGTATAAAAAGGTATAACTAGATCTAGATCTACTTACAATATGTTTTTAAGATGCCCACTACAGATGTGTGTTTCGTTAAAGAATCAAGTACAATAAGATGTCCTCCAGAACGTTCACAGTCATTCAGAGCATTAAACCAAGACATATCTGTTGTACTTTTTCTCAGGCATAAACCTTTATAGTATATGTATCCATGTTTCGTACATTCTACAATTAATATTTACACTGCATTAGTGGAATCATTACTAAAATACTTGAAGAGTTAGAATTATATAAGTTGTACGTGTATAGCTCATGCACGAATGAAAACGCTACAGAAGTTGGTTTGCACCGCTGTGATGATAACAATACACCAGAATATGTATGCCTCTCTCTATAGATATATATGGAATGAAAAATGATACGTATCCAAGAGAAAATAACACTACAACGTATATATTTGCTGCAACCAAAACACTCTTTTTCATCAGAAGCGCTCAAACTCCAAAAATTGATAGCCAAGAATGTTAAAATACACGAACACGTCAAAAACGATAAGACTAAAAGGTATCGAAAAATAATAGCAAATATCACCCAATGATAACTTTGCCTGGGGTACCTGGAACCTACTGTTCTTGATAATTTCTTGATTAATAAACGGCGAACTTAGGAAAGTTATGTTAGGCATGTAAATGATATGTTATGAAAAGATAGGAACCTGAGTCAGAGACAGACTGTATAAAGATAAGCATTGAATGAAAATGAAGTAAATTGGTTTCTTATATACTTTATCTCAAACTGGGAGAAGGTAAGGCTAAAAATTAAAAAAAGTGTTTCCGCCAGGAAGATAAACATTACAGCTTGTGTTATATATAACTTAGTAAAGGGATTAGAGAGAATACAACAAACACAGGTTAATATTGGAGAGATGTCATACATCCTTTAGGAAGACGAAAGATACCATGGAAGCCTCATAGCAAAAAAAAGGCGTCAATTTGATGTTTGAGTTTGATCTTCGTAGGGATCGAAAGAAAATATCTCCCACTCAATCAGAATTCATTTAGTTGAGCATTCTTTTATTTGAATAAAGATGCAAACAGGATCTGACGCAAATTTTAATAAAACATGACGACTTCTCCTACACAATGATAGCATATTGAGCATGAATATACACTATCAAATAAAAGTAATAAATGCCAAGTGAATGTACATCAATGATTGAAAACAGTAATGATTTTTGAAAAGTAAAAGTGATGAAATGAAGACATGGAACTTCAAGGAAAAAAGGTTTGATACAATAATAGCAGCATTAAATATCAAACTGTTATATAAACATTATGTCAAATTCTGCAGTTATTACAGAAAAAGTTTTTTTTTTGTACTTGCTATCAAATCCGTCCTACAACTACAAGCGGTAGTCAGTACTTGCTTTATATACAAGTAACCATTAAGAAAGGAAAAACAACATCTTATTTGCTTTAAAATAATACACAATCTTCTAGGGTCATATCAAAAAAAATCTGGCACTAATTTTTATGTCATCATAAAGAGTTCTTAGCGTTTAATTATATCTTCGAACATCGAATTGAAGTTAATAATGTAGATCTGATAATAAAGCAAAATGTTTGTTTAGTAAATGACTGTGAAATTGCTTAAGGGCTGTGAAAACATGCAACTACGGCGTCTTTTACACTGATAGTTTCATTGCTTTCAAATTCATGTTATAGTTTTGGGAGTATAGATAAAAAAATCATCATTATAATTTTGCACACCAGATACGCGTTTCGTGCATAAACGACTCATCAGTGACTTCAAATACGAAAAGTTGTGACAAATAAGGCTAAGGCAATCTATACTTAGGGGTAGAAAAACCTAATGTTTCGAATGATTCAACATTTTATAAACAGTAAACGTACAGAAAAATGAACATATCCATTTTTTTTCATGTCAAAGCGAAAGTGCTGACTACTGGTACAGTTACAACTAAATTTATTATCAAAATCATTGATAAAACATTCAGTAAACACCAGCTTGGTATTTTAAAACACTTTGGATTAATACCTTGCATTTATATTATCATATATTTGTCAGAAAGGTTACTTACTATCTGATCTTGAACTTGATTATGTTTCTTGAATAAGCGGGCAGGGGCTTATTTCTAAATTGCTCTATGTGAAATTGAGTAAAATAAGAAGAAAAATAGTAATTTTAGATTGAGGCTGTAGATCAGTAATATGCGGAAGAAGAGAAAAGAACACCGAGGTTAAGTTATAATGGTATCTTAATTACGCAAAATAACTTGTTGACAGGATTCAAAGCAATTCCATATCTTTTTAGTTGACGGTCCGGTAGTCATTGGTGTGGCGTTAAAATTTAAATTCGTCCAGATTTCTTGCGAGATTCGTTCTAACCACTGTATGATTTTTGGTTATAAAGATTGTCAGGATTATCATCAGATATTTTTTTAATTTATAATTTTCAAAAAACTATTTAGCGCTAACACGTTGGTGTTGAAGGCATTTTGAAACAAAATTGCAAATCTGACATTTATTTGCAAACAAAATTCTGCGAAGGATTTTGCTAACCAAAATGAATCAATTTGTAACTGAAAGAAGTAACATTACTTAATTTCAAATATTAGTATAAATTTTGGTTTTAGTTAAGGATGTCCATCTTATACATAATTCGACAAAAATTGTGAAAATTGCAGTTTTGAGCTGTCTTCAGGCGAGTATAATTTGCCATCTGATTTGGAATAAGCCATTATATTGTTAAAACCTCAAAGTACACACATGGAACTAAATATGATTATGAAAATATGTGTGAAAGTTAAGAAAACAACACCATAAGTTTTGACAGAGGTGGGCTATTGTACAATGACTGTCTACGGATAAAGAAATAGTATGGAACCTAAGACGAATGGTTCTACTTTAATATTTACTGGTAGGAATAGATAATCTGGGATCACAGATAATGTAATGTGATGTAACGACGCACTTTATTTGTTTTAAATGTGCTTTACCACTTTCCACAATTAAGGTTATGAAACGATTACATTTACGAGTGATGTAATATTGAAGTTTTAATGTAACTAGTATACTATTTGATCTCGGCTAGCAAATCAAATCCTTCAACACAAACTATCAGAATACAAGCGTCTATTTCACTTTTGTAAATATTTTCTGTGTAGTGTTTTGGGGAGTGTTGTTTGGGAGTTGTCGGTTTTTTCTTGTGACCATGTTAATTTTTGTCCTACTTGGGAATATGTTTTTTTTTTATTTCCCACTTGATATCTTCGTTCTTTATCTACATTATTTGGCATTTAATTTTTCTGAATGATTTTTCATTTTTGGAAGCAATATAATCCCTAATGGAGTCACTAGGATAAGTAGATACATGAACGGTACCAAGTTTACTGCACCAGATGTTAAGTAATAGATGTAAATAAAGATATTAGACTTATTTGGAAGTTTATGACCTAAAATTGTATTTGATCTAAGGAAAACAACACGAGCAATATATACCGAGTTTTTAATGAAACAATTAGAGATGGATGGTCAAAATACCGAGTAGGAACATGAAATTGTGAGGTTTTTTTCATGCGCAAAACTTCAACTTAAAGTAGAGTCAGAAATAGTTTAAATAAAGGCAACAGTAGTATACCGCTGTTCGAAACTCAAAAATCGATAGAGATAAAAACAAATCCGGGTTACAAACTAAAACTGAGGGAAACGCATCAAATATAAGAGGAGAACAACGACACAACAAAAACACAACATTAAAATGTAACACACACAGAAACGAACTATAATATAACAATGGCCATTTTCCTGACTTGGTACAGGACATTTTAAGAAAAAAATGGTGGGTTGAACCTGGTTTTGTGGCATGCCAAATCTCCCGCTTTAGAGGCAACGTCAAACACAACACCAAAACGACAACATCACATGACAGGACCACAATACAAATAAATGGGAGCACATATAGGACAAAGATACACACGAATAATAGCTAACAAAAGGTACTAGGCTTAAAATTCAATACGCCAGACGTGCGTCTCGTCCACACAAGACCATTCAGTGACGCTCAGATGAAAAAAGCTTGAAAGCCAAAACAAGTACAAAGCCGAAGAGCACCGAGGACCAAAACTTCCAAAAAGTTGCGCCTAACACGGCCAGGGTTTTCTGCCTGGGACAAGAACATCCTTATTATTTAGAATAATTTATAATTTTGCAAACAGTAAATTTTATAAAATGACTATATAATAGATATACATGATAAAACCGAAGTGGGGACTAACTACAGAATAAAAACGGATACATTACATAAAACAAATTAATCCAATATATAAAAATACACAGCCGAGCTAGCCAAAGCATCAACGCACAAAGTGACGTCACATTTGAAATTCTAAAAAAAAAAAACACACACAAAGTGACGTCACATTTGAATTTGTAAATATATTTCCCAAAAATAAGATAGGATTAGGATTGATTCAAGATTAGATTTGTAATACTGACATTACATTTATTAATAACAATGAAAATTACAATACTTATTGATATCAAATTGTGGTAGTAATTAGATAATTAATTGTATTATCTAGCTATGTCGGTGTTTCTTCTGAATCAAACTGTAAACCAAATATATCGTATAAATTTCCTTGAACCAAACTAAAATCTAATAAATGAAGGGGGTGATTAATTATCTTTACCATAACACACGAATATAACAGAAAAGACGTTAAGACATTTGACAAAATCCGACGAGAATAACAAATATAACATCAAAATTAAATACATGAATTTGGGATAGAAAGGTACCGTGACACATCTTATAGCAATGCGGTTTAACACTCAGCAAAACAGTCACAATCGGGAATAAACCACGTTCGGTAATTAAAAGATCAGACGACGTAATGACAAACCACAATCTAACACGTGGTAAAAATGTCCTTAGTTAGTTTGGACAAAAACCGATCAAGTCTACGACTATGCAAAGAAACAATATGTTATCCGAAACTTGATTTAAAAGGAGCAATGGAAGAAAAATAACAGAAAATAATTTCTAAAGGCGAAGTATACGTAATTGATGAAATTTTTTGTGCATTTAAGAATAGTTGAACTGCATCTGAATATTTGAAAAACGATAAAAATGATATATGTAGCATTCATACTTATAAAGATACAATCAATCGATATAGCTATGAAATATATATTTGAAAATGATTAGAATGTACGAAATAAGTCGCAGAAAATTCTGCCGACACTGCAGATTATTGCTTAAAAAGATTGTAGTTGTGGACATTTCCATTTTAATGAAATGAAAATATTAGGGATGACCTGTCACCAGACTCGAGTAAATACTATCAATGTCATCTGAATATGAAAGCAATTACATGACCTTGCTAGTATTAACGTCCAAAACATTTACCCTTCTTAATTAAAACTTTTCAATCACTAGATGTTTTCGATTAATTTGGTATTAGTTGTTGGATCGTGAATATAATAAAGGATTTTTAAGTCAATAACTTAGATTATCCACTAGTTTTATACAAATTACGTGCTGAAACTATATATCCAATTAACGTTAAATTGAAAAATTAACATGACATTGTTTAATAGTAATACAGCACCAATTAGCCAGCTATTCAGGATATTGATCAGTGGATGTAGAAATTTACAGATTATATAGTTTTATTTGGCAACGCTTGCTTGGTTAGTATGCGTAAAACGGATACAATACTCTGAAAGCATTTCAGTTGTCACATAGTAATTTCGTTGTGTAAAAAAAGTAGAACCAATAACCCACGAAATATTTTGACAACAGCACCATATTCAGTATGAAAATTAGTAGCAGCATAGTTTTATACGTATATTATGAGGTTCTGACAAAATTATGGGTGCCTATAACCAACTTAAAAGTGCAATTTTCAATTCTAAAGGGTCTCATGGGGGGGGGGGCTTCTGGTCCCAGATCCCGTTTATTGTTTTGTCAGATTCCCGTATCCAGCTTATCATTGTAACAATAACGTTTGTAATTTCACGTGTCCCGCCCGACTTCATTTCCCGTTTTCACGCACAATAATTTGACTTCCACGTGTCAAGCTTACAAAAAATCGGCCAATCTCGTGTCACGCTTAGACCCCAATGAGACCTACATTATACATTTTGTCCCTTTTCGAGAATTAATCCCTAAAAATGTATGAAAAGGATATTCTATCACTATCAAATTATGTAATTATATAAAAACTGCATAGAATATTAGATCTCATATAGTTTCATAACTTTACATTTGTCATAGTATTTTACTACTGTTCTCTGCTGTCTATATCCATGTTTTATATTATGTAATATATGTTGTTAATTTTGTCATAGCCTGTTTATGTTTTTGCACTTAAGATTCATTCATTCATTTTGAAACCAAAAGGAATTAAGTTGAAAATGATAGTGTATTGAGTCCACCAAATAGAAATTAAATCGTTTCAGTAAAAGAAGTCCATCCACGTTACATTTTACAAAAACATTTAAATGTTTTAGTATTGCATTACAGTTGTTTCAGGTATGTGTAGTCCTAGAATAACATTTTTAATTTTATGGCGTTAAGATATCTCATTTAATACGATACGCTAGTGCATGTTCACACTATATGATCCTATATGAACTTTGTTAACAGGGGTGTGCACCTTACACAAAAACTGCCACAACAGAGTTATGAGGAAGAACGACTGAAATCAACAATACATAAGTTTTACTGTCACTTTCACGAATTGGTTGACTGATACGATGTGTCGGTGTCTGAACTCACTTAGTCTAGCGACATGTTTTCGCGAATACCAGAATGGTCTTCTGATCTGTAATTTTACCGATTGTGTTCTGTTTCCGATTGACTGACGGTGAAAACGCATGGTGGGTGATGCATGCACAGCAGAGGACTCTTACCCTGTCGACGCAACCGGTCTCGCTCTGTTTGGAGGTCATGCGATTCCCTGATTTTGAGTGTCTTACCTTTGTCTGTCTTTTCCTAATAGATTTACGAGAATTTAACATCGGTTAGCTACTGTCGCTTTAACTTGACTATCACCATACATTGTCATTCAGGACAGATTTCTACATAAGACTATTTTATGATAAACGAATGATATTTGTTCTTCATCCTTTCAGATATGTTAATGTATTATACAATGCCAAATACAGAAATGTAATAAATGTTTTGAATGTCTTATATCATTCTAACATGTACGGAATTATATGCTTTAATTGTATTGTCTCCTGTTGCGATTCCCAGATGCGACTGCAGGCTAATTGAAATAAAGTTTCAAGTATTATGAGTTTTAGAATGACAGGTGTTTGGTCATAACTTTCATGTTTATGTGACAATACTGTTGAAGAAAACTTTTATTTATTTACTGAACAAATTATTCATGTTAAACTTTCAAGAATAAGCTTTGGTAAGATTTGACTAATATTGATTTTTTTTTTATCTACATTTATTTGGATCAAGTCTTCAGTGGACGCTCATATCGTTTGGATATTATATAAAATTTTAGCAGAGTTAATATATAAATAAACAATTTATCAGTGTGATGGTACTGAAAGCTGATACTACAACAATAATGATAATTTGAATAAGCCTTTTCTTTGAATGGTAAAATAGAAAATGGAAACGGGGAATGTGTCAAAGAGACAATAACTAGACCAAAGAGCAGAAAACAGCCCAAGGCCACCAATGGGTCTTCAACGCAGCGAGAAAATCCGGTATCCGGGGGCGGGTTTTAGCTGGCCCCTAAACAATAATGGTAGGTTGTCTAAAGAAAGAAAAAAACACTAGAATGTGGTGTAAATTGTTGATATAAATACAGTTTACTACTTCCAAATAAAATAACACTACATTTTACACTTCCGATGCGATTTTCTGGATTTACCTTCACCAGGAACAAGCCAAGTATTACAAGTACCAGAACGCGTGAAGAGCTATATGAACAAAAGGGACCGAAACATATTAGTATAATATTTGTAAGGTCAACTTCAAGTTACATCTCTTCAGAATTAACAATTAGTCATGGAAGACTTGTTCTAAACTTTGTTACAAAAAGAAAACCCACTTGATTAGGATCTTCTTTAGATTTGATGAACTTTTTTTGCTTCATATGAGTGATCAAAAAGACAAATACATAAAAATTCAACGAACAACAGAGGGACGAACGTGTTTGTGTACGGTTGTGAAAGCGATTGCAATTAGTAAAAAATGCACATTCTTATAAAAGATATACTGGTGATGTAAAGATACCATGCATACATGAAGATCCGGTTCATAACTAGTAACTAGTAAAAACTATCGGGATGGAGATCTTTTAATACGATACAGCATGTTCTCATTATAGAGATTTATTAACATGTGCAGAGGAAAACTGTTAACTCAAATAACTTATCTAGCAATAGTATTCCTAGACAAATTGCTGTCGCGTAGTAGTTGAGCCAAAAAAGTCACAGTTTTTTTCTAACATTGTGAAATATTTTAACCCTGTTACAGCTCCCACAATCTACTATCGTTCATCTTACATTACCTATCTGTCCTTTTCCTTTGAGACGTGCTACTGGTTATGACTTTGAAATCATATGACGGGCGATACTTACATAGCAGAATTCGCTCAAATTGTCGACTTACCTTAACTCAGTCCGGTTGAAGTCCACAATTTTCACGCCTTTGTTTTAATTACTAAACTACAACGGTGGTAATCATATTGTAACATTGTATCTGAATTAAAGGCAAATTGTATGTTCTTAACACATAAATGACAAGGAGGACACGTACATATGTGTAGGTTAGAATCAAAACGGGAATTACTACTCAATGAAACATATACTGCGCTGTAACGTTCTTAGTGGAACTATTTCGGGTAAAAAAAAAAAAAATTATTATTTTTCTAGTTAATTATTTCATAAAACAATGCCATGGCATTCGTCCCTAAAAAATATTGTTTAAACATATTGTTTATATGATAGAGTATATTTCACATAATTTTCTTACCATTTACAGGTCTTTTTACATAGATTTGTGTATCATTCTGAAGGTAAGTGCTGCTTGGTGTCAGGTCCGTATTACAGTAACAACTTCCATTTGTGGTTATAACACTAAGACATTCGGGTAAATCAAAACAGTGCAGAAAACAATCATGTCGTTGGTTGCTTTCCTTTCGGCATATAAATGTGGACGTTTGCGAGGACATTAGAATTGAAATGTCAGGTATTAATTGAAATGACATTCCCATGTTAGCACCAGCACTTCTAATATCTATAAAAGCAATAAAACTTGAATTTTGATTTATACATCAAGAGCATAATTTTGATAGTTTTATCATGATAAAGAATTGTTATAATATGAGCTTGAAGTAATTTTTATATATATATATGTGTATCTTTCCGCCTATAAACATCTAGGATTATCGTCGGTTAAAAGCGAACACGTAAAGACTGTATATAATTGTATATTTGGTAAGTGGGCGTGTTTTATTTTATACAGTTAGTAGTGTGTTACGTCCCTTTATAAAAACATCTTGGCGTTGAAAAAAATGACAATGAATGAAGATATTGATGATAAACGATTTAAAATAAATATAGAAAACACATTAAAAGCTATCAAATTGTTATTGTTGGCATTTAACTTTGTATAGACCAATGGAAGTAGGTTCTTAATATTGAAGACTTGTCACTTTCATAGGCACTAGTCTAAATTCCACATATTAAGATAGTCGGTAAGATAAATTCAAAGTTTGCTAGTGACCTATAACGATATATACGGGGTTAGTAAATTCTTTATACAAATTAAAAACTGAACCACTTTTGTATAATACTAAAATTTCAAAGTTTACGCAGGTTGAATATATACAACAGAGACTCCATAAATATGCATACAAAAAAGAGTAGTGATGTGCGATATGAGCTGGTACAATTCTAAAACTCCCATGTGTCGAAAGTTAAGTTATTACAACAAAGACTGCGTAAATATACATCCCCAATGAATAGGACTGTCCGATTTGAACTGGTATAAATCTAAAATTTCAAAGTTGACGAAGTTTAAGTAAATACAACAGAGGCTGTGTTGCCACGATGTCTCAGATGCAGGGGTTCGAATCCCGTGAGGGAAGAATATATATATATCAAATTTTATAAAGTTTTCAAGGCGACGAATAAAATACGTTGTAACTTATCAACGCAGTGAGATTATTTCAATCTGTATAATTTGTCTACATCTGGATCTGTATCGCTGCTTAAGGAATGTCAGTGCCCGAGGGTACTATCCATTCATTAGTCAGTGTTTCGGCAGTAGTATGTTTTAAATGTTATACTTGAATTTTCAAGGAACTTAATGCAATCATACTTAAACTTAGGCTGAAATCATCTGTTGCAAAAATGTCATTTGGCGGTTGTGGCTATCTAGTGAGGTCGGTGTTGGCTTTGTTGTTATTCAACTTTAAATATTTAACTTCTCAAAAAGCTACATAAAAAGTGAAATATTTCAGAATCATATGTTGTTAACGCTAATAGATGTGTTGCATACATGAATACTTATCGGAAAATATGTTTTGAGATAAAAAAAAAATAAATAAAAAACAGAATGACATGACTCCAGCCGAAAAGACGATAATCTTATTCAACAAAAATGCAAAAAAGCAACTTACTTATTGTCAATACTACCAATGACAGACGTAACAACATAATTCCAATCAAATGGCTTGTTCAGGTAATATATGATGTTGAAAATGTTTTTATCAAATGTCCTATCTTTGTATGTGATTCCATAAACAGTTGTTGTGAACGATTGAAACAACACCATGAAAGCCAATAGTATTGCAAGGCCACGAACCCGTGTTTAACCTTATCATATTGTCGAACATTAACAGGTATTAACTTGAGTAATACTGGAAGATTGATATTAATTGCCGTAACCAATATTTTCACAATCAAATATATTATTAAGTGACAATTTAAATTAATATGTATCATTTATTTACTGATTAACAGATGCCATTCGAAGTTCATGTATTAAGTTGGCATTTCCAATATGTCGTTCATTGAACGGATTACCTATGAAAAATCTGAGAATGAAGAATATTGTGAAAATCCTATATGTTCTCGAGGTTCCTGCTAATTCATGAGATGATTCGTTTTCTCGTTATTAATGTTAACTAATTTGTCATATCAGGATGTGTGTTTGAGATACAATGGATACGCGTTAGTTCGTTAAAAAGGAGCGCCAATGGTACTTTTAAAACAAACTAACGCTTATCCATTGTGTCTCGTACTTAAACTATTGCTGTATCGACTATTCCAAATTACAGTTCTTCTCTAAACCCTATCATAAGTGAGTTCCAATAACAATTAGTTCTCTTGCATGAATTATGCACTTCAATATGTATTAAACGTACAGTCACGTCGATGATTTTAATCGTAGGCAAACATTAATACAAACCCTACGAACTTAGTGTATAATGAAAATGATTCAGAAATTTGTTCATTATTGACAAAATAAAGAACCTTTGAACTAATGTTCCATTAAAACATTATGTTACATATTTTTTTTTATTGTGTTTCACTTCTCGTTTTACACTCTTTGTATTTTACGAATATGGAAAACATGCATTGAAATAGATTAAATTTCCATAAACATCAAATCAGCAATATTTCAATTTATTTTGAAGTTTGCAGTTCATGAAATAGTAGATTATATTAATTAATAAGAAATAGTGAGCCATTCATATTACAAGAATATCAATGATAACACACAAAAGTACGAAAAAAATAAAAGCCGAAACAATTGAATCAGACTAATATTATACCCCAAAATATATGAAATTTCTTCAAATTCAGGCTTAAAACGTTTGTGTAATGTTTTATTCTTCAGGAAACGCCACTAACCAGTTCCACCTGAAGTACCAACGACTCTAAAAGGATACAGGCAACAATACTGACTGTAAGCATTAAACGACCAATTCATTCTCGAACTTAACATAAATACAAGTATAAACGACATTGGCATTGTAATGCAACCATCACGTCAAATAACAAATAAACAAATTTCAATTCTGAAAAGAAATTATTTTTTAACCAAGAACAAACTACAACTGTCTTGAAAAGAAATACGCTGGATACAACACAATTTTCCTGAGAAATTAGTTGAATTGATAAGACGGGCTTGTGTACCCCTTCAAAAGCAAGAGCTTATTGTATATATGTTGTGATCTGTTTGCGGTTGAAAATTTGGGATCTTTTGCATACAAACTGTAACCTGATATGAAACAAGAAGAAACTAAAAAAAAAGTAAAACAACAAAAATACCGAACTCCAAGGGAAATTCAAAACGGAAAGTCCTTTATAAAAAAGCAAAATCAAATGCTCAAACACATCAAACGAACGGAAAACAAATGTCATATTCCTGACTTGGTACAGGCATTTCCTTATTTAGAAAATGGTGGATTAATCCTGTTTTTAAAGCTAGCTAAACCTCTCACTTGTATGACAGTCGCATAGAATTCCATTATATTGACAACAATGTGTGAGCGAAACAAACAGACATAATAGGTAAAAATGTAAAAAAAATGGGGTACAACAGTCAACATTGTAATAGTAAAATACCAATAACTATTTCAACAAAGAAAAACAAAATGGAATATAGACACTCTATAGGAAAAGTACATAAGCTAAATGAAAGACAAGAATGCAAAATTGACCCAAGTACAATACCACTATGGCGGGATGTATAAAGTACAAAGCCACGCCAAAAGTATATTACCAAAAAAGGACTTAGCTGTAAAGGTTAAAAATGTACAAGGACAAGTAAAAAGAACACTATTACACGTAACTAAGATGATTAACAGTGTCAGTACCTAGAAATACTTCAAGACCATCATGTATTATCTGTGAAGTTGATACGGAATATTTATCAACAAAACTAAACTCAACACACATTTTGGCCGGTAACAAAAGTTTTGTAAAAAGGGTCACACCAAAAACACAACTCATCCTCGACAATATTGAGAATAACGGTTGGTCTATTACACAAGTTTATGCTTTATTTTCTTAAGACTGTTTATGGCGTGTTAAACTAAATCCCTTGGATGTGTCCTGATTGATACTTTAGTTTGGTTGATTGATTTTTGGTGTTTTAACGCCACTTTTGGGCTATTTCGTGGCGGCCAGTTTTTATTGGTGGAGGAAGCCGGAGTGCCCGGAGAAAACCACCGACCTTCGATAGGAAAACTAACAATCCTAGTCAATTAAGATTGGAGTCGAGTGCACCCGCACGAGCGGGGTTCGAACTCACAACCTGTGTTGACTGGCTAGTGATTACAGTAGTAACTAATAGACATTTTCGAAAAGTCATCTACACGGACACGTATACCGACACCGATACCTACACTGACTAAAAAAAATAGAGGGACCATATCAAAATGTCAAAATATACTAAATAAATAACCTCGTAAAACTTAGTCGGACTCAGCAGAGGTAAGAAACATATGAATTCATTATTCTGTACTTGGTTTTATATAATTTTTATTCAGAATCTGAGCATTAAACACTAAGTGCTCTCGTTAGTTTTGGAATTCCTTTAGTGATGAATTTGTGATATTCCAACTAATTGTCGAATCATACTGATTGGTCTTTTTTAAAGAAGTAATTGGCATTGTACATGTAGCTTTTAGGGGGAAAATAACAAAAATGGGGAAAATCTTATCAATGCGAAAATCGGGTACAACTTGTTACGTTCAAGCGTGTATGGTTTGACTGTTTTGTCCATAACACGTATAAAGCAAAACTGTGTTACATCATCTCGATTCAGATCCCTTATTTGTATATATTTAGGCTACATTTTGATATGATAACATTACAAATTCACAGCACCAAAACATGAAATATATAGGTCATGTGAAATACCTTTCTTTTGTGCCAAAATAATTGAGTAGGTGTGTTTGAATAACAAAAGAAAAGCTTCCTGCTACTTCAAATGTTTAAACTGGAAGTGTATTTCTTACTTGTATTTTTTCTACTTTCGTTCACTCATTTTACAGTGAAAAAAGTCGGCCACATGCACCTTTCACTATCATAGTGATAACCCTGAATTTTTACTAAAAGCCCTGGACCTTGAAAGTGAATCTTTAAAATGCATAACTTAAAAAAAATGTTTTTTTTTTTAGTGTTATCTAGGGTATTTAGTCTTCAACCTCTGCAAATGTTTAGTCTGCCCTTCTACAAAATACATAAATAGAGTTTTTTAGTGTTTTTTTGAGTTTTCGAAAATTCCCCCTCACAAACAATCAGTTTTAATTGACAAAAGGCCTCAAAGTACATTACATGATGCCTTATAGCCAGTAGATACATTTGTCTTTTAGAATTCAACTGCCGTGTATGGATCATAATTATGCCGGGTTTCAAGAGCTAAATTGACAGCGCGTCATCCCTAGCATGGCTACCATTTTCAATATTGAAAAGGAAAATGAAGAGATAATTTTGACGAAGTAGAATCCGACTTTCTATGTAAAGTTCCATTAATTTACACAAAGCCTCCCCACTATTTTACAAAGTATAATGTGAAGATCGGTCAATTCTCTGCTTCAAAACAGAGCTAATAGATTAACAAATCATCGAGAAAAAAAAATTGTATACAGTATTTAAATGCAAATTAGATAAATATTTTATAAATGCCTGTGATCATTGTACACCTTGAGATGACCCTTCTCAAAAAGGTTACCTGTCGTCCTAGGCATAGGTGTAAGCGTCAGTATCGATAAGTTTTCGAAAATGTCTACTTAGACCACTCGGCCACCGAGGCCCCCCTACTTTAGTTTGGGATAACGTGATTTACTTAATAATTGTTATTGCCTTTGAACTAGCTTACAGTAACTGCAAGAACTTTCAGTTAGGCGAGGGTTTATCGACAGAACCACAATAAAAACTTTTACTGTTCCAGTTTTGAAGATTTTTCTAGGAAGCTTTTGACTAAGATGTATATAAGAAATACAGTTAGTCATGAGTACTTTTTAATATTTCAATTTATTTTAGTATATATTTTGAAAAATATTGACATAAAATATTTTAATTTGCATTTCATTTGACACATTTTCCGGTTTCCTGTTTTCGGGGATTTCATGATAAAAATCTCAGAATAGTTATTTCTTGACATGAAATTTTGTCAGTTTCCGTATAAAATCATAGTTGTTGTGTTATATATGACAAATTTTCCGGTTTCCTATTTTCTTGGTGTTCTCTATGTTTAGTTTCATACATATACGGAGAATTAGTGTGTTTATGTATAGACATATTGTATAGATAGAATGCTATACCTTGTTATAACATCTCACCCTATTCTTATAGAAAGGTACTTCACTTGTCCACCTATAGGAATGAGTGACCATGAAATATTAGCTGTAAGAACGCATGTAAGGCCATTTAGACCATCCAAGACCACATGAACTGTCTAATACTATAAGAAAGCTAACTAGGGAAAAGCAAACGAACAATGTCTGAGATCTGCAATTCTATTCTATTAGAAGATCATCACCTGTGGAAGAAAATTAGACACCTTTTAAACATCGATATTTAAAGCTGACAAATGGGTTCCCAAGAACTTCTTAAAGATGTACCATGGATGCCAAAAGAAATTAAAAGAATGATCCACAAGAAAGAACAGCTATATAAACAAGCACATGAGAACGAAAAATAAACAGCAAAGTCGAAAATTTCAGACAATTCAGAAAGACCTCAGAAACAAACTTCATACATCTTACCATAAATACTTAAATAACGTGACCTGTTAGATCCTGAAAAAATATACAACATCAAAAACCTTTAGAAAATACTAGTACATCAAATTGAGGAAGCAGAATGTAATGAGCATTGGAACACTAAAAGCTGAAGATGAAATAGCCGATACAACAAACGAGAAGGCGGACATGCTTAACAACATTGCAACCGTATTTACCAACGAGAATAATGACCAAGTTCCAGACAGGGGCCTAGATGGACAGAATATACTTAATGACAACAAAATGGTTTCTGTGCAAAGTGTTCATATGAAACCCAACTACTCGACACAACAGATGACATAGTAAATCACCTAAACCATTGAAAAAATATGGGAATATTAGACTTTTCAAAGCGTTTGATAAATTTTAAGTCCCTCACACCAGATTGTCAAACTCCATCATTTAGGTATCCAGGGTATCACACGTAGATGGATAGCCAGTTTCATGAAAGACCAGCAACCGGTTGTAGTAGACATCGCAACATCCTACACGGCACAAGTAACAGCAGGTGTTTAAAGGGAATGTGCTTGGAACCACACTATTTTACATAAACGGCATCCCTGATGGTATAACATCACCCATAAGACTGTTTGCGAATGACTGTGTCATACATAGCCACAAAGAGTCCAATGAAGAACACTTCTTATTACAAAATGACCAGGACCCCCTTGTACAATGGAGCGGTAAATAGTAAATAGAAGTCGATGTCAAGAAATGCGTCATCATGCAGTTAACAACATCAAAGAAAAAGAGACTATCAGTACAACATGAAATATGAGCAATTAGAAATTGTACACCACCATTCGTACCTAGACGTTAAGCTCAGTGACAGCCTAGGCCATATTTAAAGATATTTTGGTTTGCCCAAACCCTATCCAAAGGTAGAGACAGTGGGTAGGTAGGTAGGCATTTTCTTTTCTTTTTTCAGCAAAGAGAAATTGAAGTGTCAGATGTTTTTTTAGTCTTCATGTCTATCTGATTAAAAAAAACTTTTTCACATCAGGACAATAAAAGATTTTGAGTAGGCAGATATTTTCTGGGTAGGTAGGGTTAGGGCAAACAAACATATTCTTTTTTATGGCCCTAAAGTATCATGGGTATCATCTGCACATTGACAACATCTGCAAGAAAACTTCAAGTGTATTGAGATTCTTGAAGAGAACCCAAGACATGTATACCTAAGGTAAAAGAAAGAGTGAACCAAAGTCTAGTCCGGCCCAAATTGAGGTGCAACACCTACCCGGAACTCATAACAGAAATCCACGATCACATAGATAGAGCAGATACAGCGAAATGCTGCCAATTTGTAAAGAACCAATCATACTACCCAGAGAAACCAATCAGTATAACATCAATGGTTCAGAACCTCAACTGGAACACACTGGAACAAAAAGTACCATTTCCGGCGTCACTCTAATTGACAAGGTAGTCCATAAACTAATAGCGATACCAGTACTTTATATTCCAAAACCAGCAACTGTAATATGAACTAGAAACAGATACAGTTTGAAATTCCTGCTATACCACTGCAGGATCAACATATAGCACCATTCGTTTTCCCAAGAAGTAACCATCTGGAACACTCTGTCAGAATCGGTTGTGCTTGCACCACCATTTGAGGTCTTCAAAACCTGCATCCAGGAGCACCAATCATGTATAACCAACGTCAAATAACGAGCTTGAACTTTTGTACCGTGTATATATATATATATGTTATGTTTTAATCACCGGAGCTATCTTTTTATTGGATTATTTGCATACATCACACTACTCACATGGACACAGGTCCTTGTTGGTAAATGTCAAGTATTGATTATGACGAGCAAAGAAGTAAGTTGAAGTTAAACCTAAGGTTGTATCTAAATGATTACTGCAAAAAATATTAAGTCGATAAAATACAGAAAAATAAAAGAAAATGCTCTTAAATTTTGCTCTTGATCCTGTCACTTGGTCTTGAAGAAGCTTCTATGCAAGTTTTCTAAAATTCAGAGAAGTTTGACAAAGTTGCCTAAAAAAACACTTTTACCCTAGATTGTTTCTTAGTGAATAAGCCAAAAAACTAGAACAGCATTTTTACCCCCATGTTTTATTTCTAGCAATATTGGCCAAGTTTGTTGATGGATCTGACCCCCGGATACAACTTCTAAACTAGTTTCTCTAAGGATTCAGTTAATGTTTGGTAACATTTGACCCAATAGTTTCAGATGGGAAGATTGAAAAAAAACTTATGACAACAGACAGACGGACGTCAAGTCAAGTGATGACAATAGAACACACTGCTGTTTAGGTCATATGAGCTGAAAAGGAAAAAAGAAAAAAAGGATTTTCCAAATTTTGCTCTGAATCTTGTTTCTTCATCAAGAAAAATTCCTTAACCAACTGCCAAAGTTATTGATGTCTTAACCTAAATGATGACAACAGCATGTAGGATAGCTTGTCTCATTTTGCCTGGCAAGACAAAACTTATCTACAAATTAAGAACATTAGAAAACTATTGTCGCCCTTAAATAACATTAATCTGCTCTTTTAGTATTAGTAAACATAGTACATCTAGATTACAAGGAACGCTTCTCCTGCAAAACATGGTTAAATGATGTAATGTCAGAATGGAAAAAAAATAAAATTTCACCTTAATTCAATGTTAACCTGAACCAAAGTTGATAAAACAAAATATGGGTCATAAGACCTCCTTTTATTGTATAGTAAGTCTACTTAGTCACACCTTCATACAATGTGTGATGGTTAAAGGCAAGCAATTGTCCCAAAAATTAAAATGATGGAAGTAGATGTGTACATGGATGCTGAGGGTACTTTAAATTATTCTTCCTCAACTTCTTTGAGGCACTCTCAAAATTGTAGACCAATATGAAGGTTGATTAATTTTAAATTTTACATGGTTTTAACTGCTTTCAAATATTGACACTAAGAGCAAAACAAATACCATTCTTATTTCAGTGCATGGTCAGTAAGTATATGTACCTTAACGAGAAAGGCAATCATTTTTGAGTTTTTAATGATCATAACTGTAATTTTTTGTTGACAATGTTGTATTTTTATTTGAAAAGTCTTTGTTCTAGGCAATTTGTCAAATTAGCAAAAGGAGTTATGGAATGAGAAGATAACCAGTTAAAAGAACTTTTTACTTCTGACAACATAAATATGATTTTATATTTTTTTAGAAATAATTCATATACACTATGAACTTATATCATTATCTAACATAAAGGTCTGATATAAGTGGAAGTAAGGATAACATCTTTGTAGAAAATAACATTACTGTATTCAAATATCAAGAAAAAGGTATGCACAAATACATTTGTATATATACAAATATAATCACAGATCAAAGATCAAAGATCTCTTTGAGATATGTGTTCATAAGTGGAGCATCACAAATTTGAGAGGAAAATTTAATATTTTCAGTTTTGTCTTTTTTTATAATTTACATGGGTACATGTTTATTAAACCAATTCTTATTTTGCAGCAAAACTGTTACAGTTAATGTTATTGCATTAGTATGTAAAATAAATCTTTAAGGTCATAATATACTTAATTTTTCATAATAATTGTGTGTTTTGTAAGAATTATGACTTTCTTTGAGATTGGGTTTATAATTTCAAATGATATTATTATCAAAGGAAAAATTAATTTCTGTACCATAAAATTATAAAATAAACAATGAAACTTTTCAATAAAAACATCAACAGTAAAATTCATTAACAACTTAAATCATCAATAACTATCATAGTCTCAGACATCAAAGAAAATCTGTACTTCGATTAATTCAACTAAACATAAATATTGTACATATATAGCATTTAAGCAATGATTTCCTGAGAAGAACTAGTGACAATATCACATGATATCACATGATATTCTGAAGCAGAGACAAACAACCTCCACAAAACATTACACAGAAAACAATAGTTCAAACATATGATTACACTATGAAGAGAACCAAATTTTATATATCTGCATTTCAAAAGAAAGTAAATAAATTTGAATTCACTATTAAGGTAGATGGGGGGTCCAAATTTAAACCATTAAGATATTTTCAATAATTTGCCAAAATGTAGTTTATATCAAGCTTTTTTTCAAAAATATAACAAAAAGTATGGGTCTTTGAGCTTTTTTTCCATCTACAGCCGTTATAGTAAACAAAAAAAACACATAATTTTCTTCATTCAGATATAATTACATTAGATGTATGTTTCATTATAATACGTTATTCTGATTGGCTAACTGCAATCTCGCGTTATTCCTTAATCAACTTCATTACACAATGAAATTATCATTCATGATGACATGAGGTCCCACAATAAAGTGCACAGGTAAATTAAATAAAAACTTGATAAAAATCGTGTTTTCATGATCCTAGCTAAAAAATGTAATTATAAGTATTGAATGCTTCGTTTTGTAACTTCATAGGGTTGTAAAAGCGTTGACCGTGCGCACATTTTCAGAATGAAGCGCTTTTGCGCTTCATACAAAATGTACTTTGGTCAACGCTTTTACACCCCAATGAAGTTACAAAAAGAAGCATTCAATTCTTAAGAAAAATCTGATTCAAAATATTTCATTAAAGATCTAGACTGATTTTTTTCTGCTATTTTACAATCAAAGATGGCAAAAGACACCTGATGGACATTAACTCAGAATTTAATGCTTGAATCTTATTGCAATCCTTGACAACCACAAATAAGGCATGATGAATCAATGTGATTCCTATACCCATTGTTGCAATCCTTAACAACCACAAATATGGCATGATGAATCAATGTGATTCCTATACTCATTGTTGCAACCCTTGACAACCACAAATAAGGCATGATGAATCAATGTGATTCCTATACCCATTGTTGCAATCCTTAACAACCACAAATATGGCATGATGAATCAATGTGATTCCTATACCCATTGTTGCAATCCTTGACAACCACAAATAAGGCATGATGAATCAATGTGATTCATATACCCATTGTTGCAATCCTTAACAACCACAAATATGGCATGATGAATCAATGTGATTCCTATACCCATTGTTGCAATCCTTGACAACCACAAATATGGCATGATGAATCAATGTGATTCCTATACTCATTGTTGCAGATGAATTACTTAAGGAAAAAATAAAATGCAAGTAAAATGATTGCAAGAATCTTCCTATCTCATTTTTCATGAAGATAATACCATTAATTTCTAAAATTACCCATATTTGATAGTGGAAGGTTAAAAAAAAAGGAACCAGAGAAACTATGGAGATTTGTTGATGCTTCAGTAATGGACACTTTGGGTGTGTGGCATTGAGTCTCGTCACAGTACAAAAATAGGCAAGCATGAACAGCATAATAAATTACAACAACTATATACATAAATAAATACTATAGTTAGGTGATACCCTAGATGTCATGTGTCAAACTTGAACTTGACCTGTATATTATGGGCTATTTGACATTGTGGTGTTTAAATTCAAAAAAAATTTTGTCAGGTTGAATATTTACTGCCATCTGGAAGCATAAAAAAAAAATTTACAGAAAATTAAGGGCTTAACTTTTGGTCTTTGTTAGTAAATTTTAGATCTGTCAAAAATCACGCTTCACTTGTTGTATAAAGTCTATGACATTATGTTTAAACAAAAGCACATTTCATTATGATAATCTAGTTGCATAACTCCTGATCAGTAATTTTAAAACCAGTGGTTTATAAGTAATTGCATGGAAACCACATAAAGTGCCATTTTCCATAGATCAAGGACCATAACTCCTGAAGGGTAAAAGATGAAAATCTTCAAAATATAAAACTTGACCTCCATTTTGTCATCAGTATCAACATATCAAAATTTGAAAAGCATTGGTTGAGCAGTTCATAAGTTATTGCACAGAAACTGTCGACATACATCACCAAATAAATAACAAAATCTTTCCTTCAAAAATCTGGTTAAAAAGTAAGTCAATATAACTTTAAATGTATGTCATATTGACCAGTTGGCAGTACATCTTTAAAGTTATTCCATTGCTGTGTTTGTACTTTTTTTATTTTGGTAAATAGTCTATACTTTTTTCATGATTTTGTTTTAATCAATATGAATAATGGAGATTTGGGGGTAAATATCAATAAGACAGCAACCCCAAAAAAACATATAACCAAAAGTAATGTAGAGGTCAACATACAGCCTTTCACAAGACAGATGTCTATACAATATATATGGCTCTATTTAATATATATGGCTCTAAACAATATATATGGCTCTAAATTGTCCAAAGTTTATAAAAGTTGTGAATAAATTAAAAAGAAAGTATGAAGGATCTGCCATCAATACTAAGTTATCCAAATATAAGTACTTTTTATAAATACATATTCTTTGAGAACATTTCTATTACTGCTAAATATATTGGTATCTGTTCAATTTATTTTAAGAATAAAATAATGAGTATTGTTGCAAAATTTGAACTAGTATAAACATTGCTGTACATGGAAGGTAATATAAAGTTAAAACAATCATCTTGCCAAGAAGTATCACAGATTATTCATTTGAAATTGCACTGTAGGTAGAGCCATTTTTACACCATAATGGCCAGCCCAAAATTTCCTGTCTTTCCCTGCATGACGATAGTGAATATATCGAACACCTGGCGGATAGGCATTAAAAACATGTCTGATCTGAAATAACATAAGCATAGGATCAAAACTGATGTAATAGCTCATTTTTAATCAAAGGAAACTGAATGTCCAAAAAAATTTTATTGGACTATTTACAATATGTTTAATCACTCATCATAACATAAACAAATAAAAACTCTTTCTTGACCTAACAACTGTCAAACTTGACCTAACAACTGTCAGACTTGACTAAACAACTGTCAGATTTGACCTAACAACTGACTGACTTGACCTAACAATTGTCAGATTTGATCTAACAACTGTCAGACTTGACCTAACAATTGTCAGACTTGACCTAACAACTGTCAAACGTTGTTAATAAGCTTCCACGGGAGATAACCTAAAATCATTATTCTTTTGAATATAGAAGACTTTTCAAAAGAAAAATTGATTATCTCCCATGGAAACTTCCTAAAAACGTATTGTAATTTCACACATATTTTACTGACTATAAAATGTTTTAATTCAAATGATGTCTGATTCTTATGAATATAGAAGACTTTTCGAAAGAAAAATTGTATGAAAGCTTAGTTTGGACATTTTTATAGCTATTCAAAATTACTACCTATCACCTTACGCATGACAATAACAATAAAATTTCTATACAAACTGTTAGACTGATTTTTCATAATAACATTGAAGTGGAATTAAAGTCTTATAGGACTGTAAGTATGCTTTATTTTATCACCTTGCACTTTCACGACTTGACTATGGTTTTCTACAGCAGTTTGTTCAAATTTCTGACCAGTTGAACATTTTGGTTTTATAAAACAAATTGCAGTTTGGTCAGAATTTTGAATAAGTTGCAATAGGTGGAGAACAACACTAACAGTCAAGTCAAAGTATCATACTTGGAAAGATACTATGCATTGATTTTCTGAATTGTACTGAGGATCTTAATGCACAGAATAGTTATGTTGTTATCAATTTGTTATCTGAAACATATACTGTGGATTCATTTATTTTCGTGGGTATCAATTTTCGTGGATAGAGAAAAAAAGACGTTTCGTGGTATACGTAAATTCGTGGATCGCTGATTATAAAAAAAAATCAGATACGTAATTCGTGGATTTCTTTTTGATTTAGGAGATCATATAACCTCCTTGGTTTGATCAATAATAAAACAAACAAAAAAGAAGGAATTCATTGAAAAAGTTTTGAATTGTCAAAATCCTTGCTTGGTCATTCTAGGTTAAAGTGTTCATTGAAAACTTCTATTACAATAATGGACAGAGACAACTAATTATTTGTTTGTTTTACAATTTATAAATTCTGGCGGAATTCTATAAGGCATTCAAAACTCTATGATTGAAAGCTCATTCCCTAATCACGATATAATAAACTGTCATATAAGTAAAAGGTGTGAAAATAAATGTTCCTGTCATAAACAATATTACCTACGGCAATATCCCCGTACTTAATCCTATTGATTTTTAATCACCAGTAAACCAAACTATGACACGGTATTTAACAACTTGCAGTTATTTTCCATGAACAGTTTTAATCAATTTTAAAAAGTAAATTATCACTGATATTTGATATATTTATTATTGATTTAATCAAAATACTTGTTTCTGCTTTCATTAAAAACACGTGTTATGTTACAATGTTTATCGCTAGTCAACACTATACTAGAACTGCCTAACATAACCGGAAATAAACATCCGACTCCATACACATTTCTCGGGATTATTCTTCGTTGAATTCTTAAATTCCTGGTTCGCTGTGACCCACGAAACGCACGAAAATTGGTATACCACGAATAACAAGAGTGCAGACGCTGAAATGGCTCGCCTTCTTTACTAATCATTGATATTATGTTGATAGTCCTAAATATAAAGCTTTATTACAACTGCCACATAAACTTAACATTAACCAAGTAAACTAAACATTGACCAATGAACCATGAAAATGAGGTCAAGGTCAGATAAACCATGCAAAGCAGGCATGTACAGCTAACAAATCTTCCATACAACAAATATAGTTGACCTATTGCTTATAGTTTAAGAAAAACAGACCAAAACACAAAAACTTAACACTGAGCAATGAACCTTGAAAATGAGGTCAAGGTCAAATAAAACCTGCGTGACTGACATATAGATCATAAAATATTTCCATACACCAAATATAGTTGAACTATTGCATATATAGTATTAGAAAAAAAGACCAAAACTCAAAAACTTAACTTTGACCACTGAACCATGAAAATGAGGTCAAGGTCAGATGACACCTGCCAGCTAGACATGTACACCTTACAATCATTCCATACACCAAATATAGTAGACCTATTGCATACAGTATAAGAAAAACAGACCAAAACACAAAAACTTAACTAAAACCACTGAACCATGAAAATGAGGTCAAGGTCAGATGACACCTGCCAGTTGGACATGTACACCTTACAATCATTCCATACACCAAATATAGTAGACCTATTGCATACAGTATAAGAAAAACAGACCAAAACACAAAAACTTAACTATAACCACTGAACCATGAAAATGAGGTCAAGGTCAGATGACACCTGCCAGTTGGACATGTACACCTTACAATCACTCCATACACCAAATATAGTAGACCTATTGCTTATAGTATCTGAGATATGGGCTTGACCACCAAAACTTAACCTTGTTCACTGATCCATGAAATGAGGTCGAGGTCAAGTGAAAACTGTCTGACGGGCATGAGGACCTTGTAAGGTACGCACATACCAAATATAGTTATCCTATTACTTATAATAAGAGAGAATTTAACATTACAAAAAATCTTAACTTTTTTTTCAAGTAGTCACTGAACCATGAAAATGAGGTCAAGGACATTGGACATGTGACTGACGGAACTTCGTAACATGAGGCATCCATATTCAAAGTATAAAGCATCCAGAACTTCTACCTTCTAAAATATAAAGCTTTTAAGAAGTTAGCTAACGCGGCCGCCGCCGGATCACTATCCCTATGTCGAGCTTTCTGCGACAAAAGTCGCAGGCTCGACAAAAATGAATCCACAGTAATACATGTATTAGATGTCTCTGTTGTTTATATTTTCATAAATTTAAGACGAAGGAATTCGTGCACAAAACAATTTTAATGAAATTTACATATATGTAAAAGGTAGAATTGCCACTGGGTAATCAAGTACAAAATCATGTATGCAATCAGCCCATTGATGCAGATTAACGTTCGACATTTTATTGCTAATGTTCTTTTTTCGCATATGTATAATAAAATGCTCCGCTGGGGCGCAGCTTGATACGACCGCAGAGGTCGAACCCTGAACAGTTGGGGCAAGTATGGACACAACATTCAAGCTTGATACAGCACTGAATTTGGATTGTAATTAAATATTTGACACAGCATAGGTTTCTGACACAGAATGAAAGTGGTCTAAGAACTTAAAATTTTTTAATTTACCTATTAAAACCATATCATTATTATTTGCTTTCATATATAAATCAGAAATAACCAATTTAAAATGGAAAATCCCAGCCTTCCCTTTGTGGTATGGTACCTTGCAGTACAATTTCAGAGAGATCCATACACTTCAACACAAGTTATTGTCTGGAAACTAGAAAAATGCTTGTTTTTTGGCCCCTTTTTGACCCCAAATTCCTAAACGTTTAGGGCAATTACCCCCAAACTCAATTCCAGCTTTCCCTTTGTGATATGGAACCTTGTAGTACAATTTCATAAAGATCCATACACTTACACACAAGTTATTGTCCTGAAACTAGAAAAATGCTTGTTTTTTGCCCCCTTTTGGCCCCTAATTCCTAAAATTTTGAGGCAATTACCCCCAAAATCAATCCCAGCATTCCCTTTGTGATATGGAACCTTGTGGTACAATGTCAGAGAGATCCATACACTTACACACAAGTTATGTCTGGAAGTTACAAAAATGCTTATTTTTGGCCCCTTTTTGGCCCCTAATTCCTTAACTGTTAGTACCATAACCCCCAAAATCAATCCCCACCTTCTTTTTGTGGTATTGAACCTTATGGTAAAATTTCATTGAGATCCATTCACTTAAACTAAAGTTAGAGTGCGAAAACTAATGTGTCTTCGGACGACGACGACGACGCCAACGTCATACCAATATACGACCACAAAAATTTTTTTGCGGTCCTATAAAAATTAGAAGATGTGGTATTTTTAATTGTTAATGAGACAACCTTCCACCAGAGACCAAATGACATACAAGTCAAAAGGCTTGAAAGTTTATTTGTGGTCAAAGGTTTGAATTGACCAATGAAAATGATTGTATCTTAATGAGTTGATCTTATACAGTTTTATTGACTGATTATATTATATTGTAGGACCTTTCGCTAAGCTTTACTGTTTGACCCTGATTTGTTTCAGTTAAATCGATTTATGACTATTGAACAGCAGTATACTACTATTGCCTGTATTTACTGCAGTTAGGTGTAGTTACATCTTTAACTCTCATTAAGAAATAAAAGTGTCTATCCACCTTATCAAATGCTGCTAATTCAACAGAATGGTTTTTAAGACAATATGGTATTTTTTTTGAGTTTCAAAGGTGGTAAATGACCGATGTCCGTTTGTTGCTTACGCATTTTCTTTGTAAAAGAGATGGTGAAAAATAAAAATGATAAAATTAGTTTGACAAACCTGAAACCATTGTCTTCCTGCATTTAAATTGCAGTTGAATTGATGACTATCTAATAAATCTTCCTTGTTTTCAGCAAACATTTTCACTTCCATATCAAATTCTGATCCACAATCAAACCTTGCTGCATACCTAAGATAAGAATGAAGTTTTAACATTAAGAATCCCTAAAAAAATTTTCAGAAAAGAAAGCATTGCATGAAAAATGTTTCTGCATGACAAGGACTCACAAGGTAATTGTATATACCACCCATGCCTGCACACATTAGTTTAAAGAATTTTTTTTTTCTGAAATCATAAAAAAAATAATGGGTAAGCTCTAGGGGAACATCAAAAGTCTATAATTATACTCTTGGACAATTGAATTTTTTGTTGTTAAAAACAGTATTATAATATGATCAATTAAATAATAAACTGTTATCACAGAGATATGTCTTGCCTTTTTGTAATTTTGATAATGCAAATGTTGAAATTAAAATAGCAATACTTTAACATGTAAGTTATGCAAATATTCAAAGTCGATGAACCATGACTGAAGGTACATGGCTAAACAATCTCCATGGAATGAGATGTGCCAATGCTAATACAACTGCATACCAAATACCATAGACTTATTATTAGTCATTCCCTTTAAGCAAACCTAAACACAAACATTAACTTGTAAACTATGTAAAAGTTTCAAAGTCAATGAACCATGATCAGGGGTGGGGCTATATAATCTCCATGGAAACGATACTTGCAAATGCCAATAAATTTGCATACCAAATATCATTGACTTAACATTAGCAGTTCATCTTAAACTGATTTAATCACAAACTAATACATGTAAAGTAAGCAAAAGTTTCAAAGTAAATAGACCATGACTGAGGGGGCGGGGCCAAATATTCTCCATGGAAATGAAATGTGCTAATGCTTATACAACTGAACACCAATTAACATTGGCCTACCACTAATGGTTCCCCTTGAACTGACCTAATCACAAACAAATACATGTTAACTTAGCAAAATTTTCAAAGTCTATAGACCATGACTAAGGGGGCGGAGCCAAATAATCTCCATGGAAATGAGATATGCCAATGCTTATAAAACTGCATACCAAATATTATTGACCTACCACTAGTGGTTCCCCATAAATTGACCTAATCACAAACTAATACATGTAAACTATGAAAAGTTTCAAAGTCAATAGACCTTGACTGAGGGGGTGGGGCCAAATAATCTCCATGGTAATGAGATGTGCCAATGCTAATACAACTGCATACCAAATATCATTGACCTACCACTAGTGGTTCACCATTAACTAGACCTAATCACAAACTAATACATTGTTGACTTCGACGCCAACGCCGCCGCAACCACCTACGCTGGAAACAGCATACCTATGTCTCGCTTTTTGACTCCGTCAAGGCGAGACAAAAACTGATTGTTACCACTTGGCTAAACATAAAAATTCTTCAGATAATTCAATGAATCTCACAACCACGAAAAAAATAATTGTGATGTTCCACATGACAAAACACATAATTAGAAATTTCAGTACATGGTAAACTTTTTATTGTCAAAAAACAATAAGACAAAGAGGTTTTTTTAATGATATATAATTCCACCATAGTGTGCATGATGTTTGAGCCACTTCCCGTTCTTGTCCAGCAGTGACATTGACTGTTAAACTTAATGTAACAGATGGTATTCATAGACTTTTGAGAGATGAACAATTAAGGTTTGAATTTTCTGTGTGTATTTCAATATGTTGTATAACAAGTCTATCCTTTCAATTGAAAGCATTGAACAATGTTTTCAGACTTGTGAACCAATAAAAGAAAAAAATGAATTTGATAATTAGAGGTAAAAAAGACTCTACCATTCTGAGATGACAATAGGCGGTCTAACATGGTCCAAAATATGGCTATGGCAACCTTCAGCAATCAGATCGATCATCTGTTCTCTAGAAGAGTATATGTATGATGTCACCCAATTCTGTATGTCTCCTGGAAAAAAAGGAACACTCAATTTACAAATGCATTGTAGGCTATTTATTTCATCACACAAATATTGGTAAATCACATAAATACTGCCAAACTGTAGGGTAAATCAAATAAATACTGCCAAATGTAGGGTAAATCACATAAATATTGCCAAACTGTAGGGTAAATCACATAAATATTGCCAAACTGTAGGGTAAATCACATAAATATTGCCAAACTGTAGGGTAAATCACATAAATACTGCCAAACTGTAGGGTAAATCACATAAATATTGCCAAACTGTAGGGTAAATCACATAAATACTGCCAAACTGTAGGGTAAATCACATAAATACTGCCAAACTGTAGGGTAAATCACATAAATACTGCCAAACTGTAGGGTAAATCACATAAATATTGCCAAACTGTAAGGTAAATGCTCACCAAACAGCCAATAAGCAATATCATAACAAAATCATGTGATTAAATTAAAGTTTAAGTTGAAAAAGTATGGAAAATATATATCATAAACGCTTAAATAAACAGTTAAAAAAACAAGCGGGCCCTGGTGGATAGTTTTCTCATTAGAAATCATACCACATCTCCTTATATTTTATTCAGATTTATGAAAATGGGAAATGCAGAGACATGAATATGTTTTAAAATCTTCCAGTAGAACTGCCAACAAAGGCTTTAAAGATAATATGATTAGACCGGAACTTACCAAAATTCTTTCCTATAAACTTATGTAATGGTTCAGAACCATGTGGTTGATCTTCTTTTATAAACATTGTCTCATTACGATAGTAATCACCAAGAGGTGTCAGCGACCAGTACTTTACTCCTTCTGCAAGTAAATGCACATTCTGTTAGATTATGTTAGATTTGTTTAAGAATTACATTAGTGTAAATTAGTGTAATATCTTTATGAAGTTTTACAGAAAAAAAATACTTTGTACATTGTTAATTTTTGTTATTAGATGAACAGTAGACAATGGACAGACATCAAGTGATGGCAATAGATGACACTGGTCCTGTGGGACAGCAATCTTATTAAAAAACAGATCATGTGTCCATCCTCTCACTTGCAAGGATTTGACAACACTCCATTCTACTTTTTTTTTTAAAAAGATGTATCATTAGGACAAAAGCAGACAATCCAGTAATGGTCTTCAAACCAGAGAGTTAAACAAAGCAGTGTCAGATTCTGGATAGTGAAACGTCAACAAAGTGTCTGTATTTCAATACCATTGTGTCACCACCAACATTTTTCTACCTTAGAATTTATCTGTGTATCATTTATACTTTCCAAGTATGTCAAATATACCTGACCATAGTATTAATGGATCTAGAACAAAAAGAACTGTCACTAAAAAATTATTGTTCATAAAAATTTCTATATTGACAACAAACTTCTTTAAAACATTCATCAGAATAATCATGATAATTGGTCTTTGTAGGACATGTACAGTTATATGTATTTTAAATTTTGATAAAACTATTGATGAAACTTATTTTTCATACCTGTAAATTTTATTTTATTTAAATTACCATTTAGTTTACAATATTTAACCTGTGAATAGGGATAGAACAAATGAACTCTGCAGTTTGAAGGTTAGAACATAATGACCCTGCTGAGACAGACAATTATCATGCAATTGCTTAATTTTTTAAAAGTGACATCCCCAAATGCAACTTTAATATCACAAAATGTTTTCTTGTATGAGTAACATGACAGCTATCACTAGCGAAGCAAAAACTGTTTACTCCTCCAGAGCACATTTATTCATCCCCTGTGGGGTTTAGGGTTTTAATCAAATTGTAATGGTTAATCAAAAGTTACCTTACAATGTTTTAATTTCAAATACAATTTACAATAACTATTTATTTTGATATCTTATAACTAATTTTCTAATTGATTTCATCAAGGATTTGTATAGTAAGACACTAGTAGTACTATACAAATCTTTGATTTCATGAATTTCTGCAATTCTTAAAGGCCATATATATAACATTTACAGCCTCGGATCATTTTAGTATTTTATGATCAACAAGTTAGACTGTGAGTTAGTGCTCACAAATGATCAATTTATGTACCCTCGCTATAAGTACATGTATTCGGTAAACAGGAAGGTCATTTTGCAGTCCTGAGAAAAATGTAATGAAAATTTCATACATGGCCATTATGTGTAAGAATATATAAACATTCTGTTAAAAGGAAGTTGATGAGCCATGAATCTTAAAATGCTTCACACATTAAAGCATGCAAACATGAAGCTTTATGACAAATTTCCGGATGCTCTGATTTGTTGTTCCTGAGAAAAAGAGGAACCAAAATTTTATGGGACTAACAGTTGTACAGAAAAACAAAAACCATTATACTATCCTATTAGTATTTTGGAGCAGGGGTATAATTATTTATGATTATAATTAATATTATTTATGGACGATTCAACCTAAGAGCTAAATCTTTGCTGATTTGTTTGATTGATGGCTGTGATAATATAACATGTACATGTATATATAGGATATTTTTACTGCACTAAATGCAGTGTGGTTAACATATAATGTAAATGGCAATTTTGAAGTCTTTATTTTGGGGATAAAACCGGCGTTTTGCATTTGCGCCGATTTTTTCTTTCATTTGCGCAGATTTTTTTTATCATTTGCGCAGATTTTTTTACAGGTAAATTACAGGTGAATGTTATTTTTCATTTATCATTATTGACCTCTTCCGTTACCCAGTTGTACAAATGATATGAATTGTCAATCATAACATGTATATGACTGTTGTCCTCTGCTCACCACGGGAAGGTGGAAGTAGGATGTTAAACAGGATAAGTCAATTTAAACGCACTTTGTTCACATACTTTTTTCAGCAATTATTCTATTTGTAAACACGCATAACTCTAGAACGGTTGTGTGTAAGTTTTATAACATTTGGTTGAGACAAACTAAAAAAATCAGCAATTTTTATGTTAATAAAGGGACATAACTCAAGAATGGTGAAAATGTCGCCACCAAATTTCATACTTAATCTGTATTATGTAGTAATAAGCATTGTGTATAAGTTTCATAACATTTGGTTGAGACAAACTAAAGTTAGAAAACGGAAACAAAAAATTTGTACTTGATCTTAGTTTTGTGGTAATGAATATTGTGTATAGGTTTCATAATGTTTGGTTGGGGCAAATTTAAGTTACAGAATGGAAACTAAAAATTTTGCAATCTTTCGATTTATAAAGGGGCATAACTCAATAATGGTTAAAGTGACACTTCCCCAAATTCAACTTGATCTGTGTTTTATCAGTGGAAGTCAAGTGGAAGTCAAAATTAAACATTGCTTTGTATAAAGCTTTGATTGTAGTTGATTCAACTATAATCATGGACAAAGGAAGATAACTCCAATTTTAAAATTACTTCACATTTAGAAGAAAATAAAAATTTTGCAATTTTTCCATTTATTAAGGGCCATAACTCTAGAACAGTTAAAGTGACGCCACCAAAATTCAAACTTGATCTGTGTTTTGTGGTAATAAGCATTGTGTATAAGTTTCATAACATTTGGTTGAGGCAAACTTAAGTTAGAGAACAGAAACTAAATATTTTGCAATTTTTCCATTTATAAAGGGGCATAACTCTAGAACGGTTAAAGTGACACCACCAAAATTCAAACTTGATCTGAGTTTTGTTGTAATAAGCATTGTGTATATGTTTCATAACATTTTGTTGAGGCAAACTCAAGTTAGAGAACGGAAACCAATTTTGGGACGTACGTACATACAGACAGACAAGGGACAAACTTAATGCCCCCACCGCTACGGCGGGGGCATAAAAAAAAAAGTTTTCCAAGATTTAAAAAGTCGATATAATCTAGCAAAGTGATGTAAATTTTAATTTTACTTTGTTTTCATATTTTTTCTCTCTATTTTCCATAATAATGTATTATTGAATACAATGTTGTGATCTTGAATAAAAATACACATTTTATATTTTCTGAGAGCTTTTAAGAATTTATAATAGCTTGAGTCATTAAGCTAATATAAAAGTACCAAACGCTGCTTATTGTCAAGGATGTAGTATATTTAACACCCAGTCTACCATAAAACCATGCAAAACAGTCCACATGGGGGGTCATCAGATTTAATTGAAACTTAGGAGATGCTGTAATGTACCGGGAACCAGTTTCCCCAAGTTGGAGGCAGTATTTTTCTATGAAAATGACCAATTTCAACACCCTGAAACTTATAAATGCAGAAAACAACGAGATAAAGAACAATGATTTATTAAATAATAAAGTGTTGAAGCTTTATTAACTCATCAGTACTTGAATTTACGAGAAACAGTTTGTGGATTATTCCCAGGGATATAATCCAGTAAAAAAAATATTTTCAGAAAATCATAAAAAGTACGTATTTTTAAAATTATCTAGCCTTTGGTCCATTAAAAATATAAAGATAACTCCCTATGTTTTATCAATTGGAATACTTAATTATGCATTTAGCTAGTAAACTTGCTGGGGTCTTATTGTAGTACATTCTAAAATTCTAATCTAAAAATGCCTAAATTTACATTTTCTCTCAATAAATCAATGAATTTAAGAAAGGTATTCTGTAGATAATTTTGGAAATATAAGTGTTTCTTTTTCAAAAGCACTATAACATTTAACAAAATAAGTCAAAGTAACGATGACCATAGTTCAATTACAATTTATGATGCCATAAATATTGAATTTCAATGATACAAAGGGAGATAATCCAGTAAAAATGCATTTTTAGAAATCTTAAAATCACATTTTTGTAAACTTACCAGCTCTCTGTCCATTAAAATATAAACATATCTCTATTTGGTTATATTTAGTGATAGAGTTAAGAACGCATTTTAGCATATACGATTGGTTGACTCTTGTTTTAGTTTTAATTTACTTTTTTAAAACCTACAGAAGCGTATTAGGGCCATCCCTTATTATTTATTTTTTTCAAATCGTCGACTTTAATCCTGGAATTATCAACTTTAATCTTGGAATTATCAACTTTAATCTTGGAATTTCCAACTTTAATCTTGGAATTATCAACATTAAACTTGGAAATTCCAACTTTAATGTTGATAATTCCAAGATTAAAGTCGACAATTTGAAATAAATAAATAAAAAAGGATGGCCCTAATATGCTTCCGTAGGTTTTAAAAAAGTAAAATTTATATATTTCCAAAATTATCGACAGATTGATATTTAAATCATTGATTCTGCAAGAGAAATTGTAAATTTGAACGTTATTAAAGGAAAATTCTAAAAAGTACTAAAACAAGAGTCAACCAATCGTATATGCTAAAATTCGTTGATAATTCCAAGACTAAAGTTGGAAATTCCAAGATTAAAGTTGATTTTTTTTTGTAGTGGTGTGCTATGTTTGTCTAAAACAATTTACCTATTTTTATATAATATTAACTAATATTTGGTACCTTTATTTATGTATAAAAATCGTGAACCGCCATGACATTTCCAGGCTTATGGAGGTAGAACGTCATTGTTAGAAAAATTATAAACATGATAAATATTGAGATTCAATGGAATACGTATTTGTGAGGAAGAAATTAACACTTTCCTTGGCTTCTTTTTTTGCAGACGCTGATTTATACATCATATATAAGTTCTGAAGAAGTTTTACGTCATCGTTTGAAGTGAAAAATATTTGATTCTACATTTTAAATTGATACAAAAAAAAATTCTCTGCTCTATAGATTTCTTTCATAAATGGAGTCTGAAATTTATCCATAATGAATGCACCATTTCAAATGCATATAAGAGAACACCTACTTATAAACTGTTACGCGTCGCATACTTTGTAT